TAGGATACTAAAAATATTCAAATAATTCGAAAGAGGGAAAGGGAAAAACAAAGGAACAGAAAAACAGTAGAGAAAAATAGGAAGCAAAAACTAAAGTTAATAAGTCCAACCATATCAATAATTATCTGAAATGTTATTGGTCTAAACACTAATGAAATGAAAGAAATTATCTGAATACTTAAAAAAGTGAGACCCAACTATACACTGCTTACAAGAAACACACTTGGAATATAAAGACACTGATTGAAAGTAAATGGATAGACACATATACATTATTCAAACAATAGCATAAGAGAACTGGAGTGGTTACACTAATATTGGATAAAATAGATTTCAAGACAGATTATTATTAGAGATAAAATGGAATTTCATGATGAAAGAGACAACTTCAGGAATCCATAATTATTAATGTGTATACATCTAGTACCAGAGCCTCAAATACATGACACAAAAATTGATGGTAAAAATACATAATTCCACAATTGTAGTAGGAAATTTTTAACATTCTTCTCTCAGCTCTTGAAAGAACGTTAGACAAAAACTCAATAAAGACACAGAAAATTTGAACAACACTCTCAACTTCGACTTAATTGATATTTATAGAATAGGACACTCCAAAATTGCAGAATATATATTATTTTCAAGTGCACATGGTATATTCATCGAGACAGATTATATACTGGGTCATAAAACTAGTCCCAATAGGTCTGAAATGACTGAAATAATAGAATTTTCTCCAATAACAATGTAATTAAATTAGAAATCAGTATTGAAATCATGTACATACCCCTGTGACCTTGTCTTTTGAAGTAAAAGGCTGACTCAAGAGTTAATGATTGGGAAATGTGAATATGTAGAAACAAGGAATAGCTGTTGGGCTGGGGAACTGGTAACGATTTAGACTATAAATCCACCACATCAAATTAAAAATGTTTGCTTTTGAAAGGTACAGTTAAGAAAATGTAAAGGCAAGTCATGTATTAGGAGAAAATATTTGCTAAGCATTTCTGACAAAGGTATACATATCCCAAATACATAAAGAACTCCAGTAACTCAGTAATAAGAAGACAAAGAACTCAAATTATAAAGAGGCAAAAGAAAGTTTACTCAGCAAATAGTGCTGGAACAACTGGATATTCACAAGAAAAAAATGAACATTTTTCCTCACACAATACACACACACAAATTTTCACTCTAAATGGCTCTTAGGTTTATATGTAAGAGTTAAACTATAAAATTTCTAGAAAATGAAATAGGAAAGAATCTGTTGACTTTGGGGTATATTTTCTTACATAAAAAACACAAAGCTTACCCATAAAATGAAAAAGTAGATAAATTGGATTTTATCAAAAATAAAAGAATATCTTCTCTTCAAAAGACACCATTAAGAAAATGAAGGGCAAGTTACAGACATGGAGAAAACATTTGCAACACGTAAATCAGACCAGGATATATAAACAAACAAACAAAAAAACCTCTTGCAACTCAATCATAAAAAAGACTAACCAGTAGGGCTTCCCTGGTGGCGCAGTTGCTGAGAGTCTGCCTGCCGATGCAGGGCACGCGGGGTCGTGCCCCGGTCCAGGAAGATCCCACGTGCCGCGGAGCAGCTGGGCCTGTGAGCCATGGCCACTGAGCCTGTGCATCCGGAGCCTGTGCTCCGCAACGGGAGAGGCCACAACAGTGAGAGGCCTGCATACCGAAAAAAAAAAAAAAAAAAGACTATCCAATAAAGAAGAGGTAAAATGTGTGAATAGACACTTCACAAAAGACCTACAAAGTGCTAATAGGGAATTGAGAAGATAATCAACATCATTGATTATCAGTGAAATCAAAACCACAATGAGATAACACTATACCACACTACAAACTCTTTAGAGTGACCAAAATTAAAAACTGAAAATGCCAAGTGTTGACAAGGATGTGGAGCAACTGTAACTATCAAACACTGTTTATGGGAATGTAAAATGGTACAGCCATTTTGGAAAAGAGTATTGCAGCCTCTTAAAATGTGAAGCATCAATCTACTATGTGACCCAGCAATTATACTCCAGAGTGTTTACAAGGGAGCGATGGAAACATATGTCCACACAAAGAATTGTACATGAATTTTCATAGCAGCTTTATTTTTAATAATGACAAATGAAACAATCCAAATGTCCATTAACAGGTAAATGGATAACAAAAGTGGTATATACATATAATGGAATATTTACTCAGCAATAAAAAATATATATATACTATGGATTCATGAAGCAATGTGAATGAATCTCAAAATCTTTCTGCTTGGTGAAAGAAGCCAGGCACAAAAGAGTATATACTCTATGGTTCTATTTATATAAAATCTTACAGCATACATTGTAATCTACAGTGACAGAAAGCATATCAATGACTGCATAAGATAAAGGTGGAGGGAAAGAAGTATTACGTACAGGATAAGGAAACTTTGGGGGGTGATGGAGATATTTGGGATCTTGATTGTGGTAGTGTCTTCATGGACGCATATATTTGTCAAAATTCATCAAATTGTATACTTTAAATCCATGCAGTTTACTCTGCATAAATTATTCAATTATTTGTAAAAAAAATTAAAATAAATATAAAGAAAGAAATTATAGTAATGTCTTGAATCTTAATGCCCCAACTGTTACCTTCCTGACTAGTTGGGAAAATAATTGCCTCATGAATCTTCTCTCAAATATTCCTTCGACTCTCCCTGACTGCTTACAGGTACTACTATTTGCCCTTGGTTTGAAGATCTGCATAAGGGGTTCTGAGAGGGAGGTCCTCCATACACTCGGAACTATTCTGTAGGCTGTACAGCCCCTCTGGTGTCCCCATTTCTTGCTGGCATTTCCTGATTCTGTCCGGCTTATAGGTTGCTGTCCTTGGTGCTGTTTGCACCTCTTGCATGCACTCCTGGAGAGTGGCTCTCACTGTCCATAGGAAGCTACCTCAATCCTGTCTTTTTCCCTTAAGGATTTTTTTCTCTCTTAAGTCAAGAGAGAAAACCTGCCTTTTGTCACAACTCTTTTAGATGGGTTTCCCACAGCTGGATCTAGTGTCATGTTCCCCTTCTCCTGTATACCTTATTCGTTCTGGAGCTCAAGGTGGGGAGGCATTTGGAGCAAAATTTAAGGACAGACACAGACTACACCTGGATTCCTTTCTCCCTCTAAAGGCCAGGCATACATTATGGATTGCATATTGTACCTACTAATATGGAAACTAGAATGGTAAGTCCCTCTTTCATAATAAAAATATGTATTTCCTCTTTAAGAAGGCAATTATTTTTTCCCTTGGTAAATGATCTTGTTAGTTGAATTCATTAGTCAAGGCTAAAAGCCTCAAATCAGATTGCATTTTGATATATGTTATACTTCCTGATGTCTAAGCTTCTGACACCCAAGGGGAAAAACATAAAATTTGAAATACACAATACTTTTATGCTTGAGGTGTTTTCAAGGTTTGCAAAGCATCATTTCATTATTTACTTAACGTTATCAACAATGGCTGGTGTAAAATCAATGATGTCCATAAATTGTATCAGTTGAGGTGCATCAGTCCTCAGTGAACGTCTAGCTTCTTTCCTTAAGGTCTATTGTTTTCAAAGCTAAAACAGTTCAGTGTAACACTAGGTGATAGAGGCTAACAATTTCAATTATTCCTTTTCTGCCTCAGCAGAACTTATGAATAAAACTGCTTCTGACATTTTTGCTGGCATACTTAAAAAAATGTTTTTTCTTCATTGGTAGACACCCAATATCTGTCAGTCAATTGAGGAATTGATTAGGAGTCACTGAGCAATGGAAGGGGATGTCTTCCTTTGAGCCTACTAATTGCCTTGCATCTCTACACCCAATGCCAGCTCAGGTCATGAGGGCTCCTGAGTGACACTAAGCTTTACCATCTGAGTCATGTAAATCATTGGCTCTACTGACCTTCCAAGATTGATGTTGATGCTTCTGTAGCCATCAAATAATGGATGTTGAATAATTAAACAGTAAAACTGAGCTGCAACTTGTAGGAGGAATGTTTGATCTTATGAGAGATGAAGTATCTTGAAGACTACAAATTCTGTGTGGGCTGGGGTGTGTATGTGTGTGTGTGTCATATACCTGCATCTATCTTTATCTATCTATCTATCATCATCATCATCGTCATCAATCATTTGTCATCTATGTATCTATGTATAAATTTGTGTTAGTCTGCTCTGGCTGCCATAACAAAATACCACAGACTAGGTGGCTTAAACATCAGATATCTATTTTCTCACAGTTCTAGAAGTCCAAGATCAAGGTGCTGGCAGAGTTGGTTTCTGGCGAGACCTCTCTTCCTGCCACTTTCAGGCTTTGCAGATATCTGTCTTGCTGTGTCTTCACATGGCCTTTCCTCTGTGTGCATGAAGAAAGATAGAGAGGGCTCTGGTGTCTCCTCTTCTTCTTAGAAAGACACCAGTCCAATTCAATTAGGGGTCACCCTTATGACCTCATTTAACCATAATTATCTCCTTAAAGGTCCTATCTCCAAGTATAGTCACATTGAATTTTGAGAGAATACAATTCAGTCCATTATACTATCTAATCAGACAATTTGGAAGCTCTCTCCCATTAAATAGAATGTGTTATTTTAAAAAATCTTAATACTGATGTATAGTTCATGAAGAAATAGTATATACGTGGATAGAACAAAGCTTTTTGGTTGTTTCCAATTTGGTAGCTGGAACAAAGCATGTACAACAGAACATCAGCCATGCCACTATCAACCCCACAAAAATGGAAACAAGATGTTTAGAACAAACTGTTTATGTAGAGATAGTACATAAAAAGATTTTGATCCCACTTAGATCAACCGGTCACGATTGCATCCTCATGATCCTGGCTAGACCATTTCTCCTTTCTCATCAACAGGCCCGGGAGCTGAAGGCCCAACTGCCCTGCCTTCACATGTGTCTCTACTGTGAAAGGAATGCAGAATTTACTCAAATGCTGATCACTATGTTCCTAGATAATACACAGACTCAGGCACAGAGGAAGTTGGCAGAGCTTTCACCCAGCCTGATGTCCCCTATAGCCCAGCCTCTTGGGATGCTGAGCCCTGGAGGGAAAGAGGTAGCATGGCTGGAGATAACAGAGATAATGACACAGGCTGCTTCTCAGGGTCTCTGTGAGCCACTATGGGTACAGAGCTAGTGGTCTATGGCTGACAGTGCACATGGGACATTCTCATAGTTTTCTGCAGCATCTTCAAGGTCCCTGTCTTGATTGATGGCCAGCCCTGCAGAATCATCTAGATGTGCCTTCTTCAACTCTGAATAGATGACTACAGGCTCCTAGTGGAAAAAAAAAACAAAACACAGAGAGTAAGTACCTAAATGTAGGTGAGGAAGAGCAGAGGGGAAAGCAAGCCAGGAAATATGACCCACCTTATCCTCCCAGTGTTTCTTTGGTGAATTTTCTGTTGAATGGGAAGAGGAAAGAAAAGTATTAAACTGTGGGTAATACATTGTAACTTACAACCTACTCACAGTGCATTCCAAGCCAATCTTTCCTCTGCTGACTCATTTCCTGTCTCCTCTGCTGAATTCTTCCAAAGCCCTCACAGAGCAAGAATCTCATCCTCACACAAACAATAAAGCCTTTCCTCTGCCCATAAAATGCCCAGAATGACTTTCTTGAAAATATCTTCCTTTTTCCACAGCTCATCACAACCCCAGCAGAGCAACTCTGTTATTTCCACCTCCCTACTACTATTTAGGGCCTCTATGGCTACATTGATCATCTGGGAGAAGGAAGTAAATATGATTCACTTCACTTTGCACAGAGAAATTGGAGGAGGCAGCTCCAATAGGGACTTGGCATTCTAAGGCCAAACAGAAAATGCCCAGTAAGCCAAAGATACGCAGTGCTAACATTGAGAAAATTCAGTGTGTGTATTTCTCCTAACCTTCCAAGGGATTCTTTGGATCTCTTTCATTTAGTTATTCAGCCAATAAGCATTCAGTGAACAATGACCTTCTATTAAGCATTGGTAAGCCATAAAGTGGCAAAGATGACATAAACTCAGTCCATACAATTAAGAATCTTATCATTTTTAAGGAGAGAAATAGAGAAACAGACATGGAAACAAATGCAAGAAGTATTATGAGCACCAAGATAAAAATACATATTAAACTATGCTGTTGCCACAAAGGGTAATCAGTTCCTCTCAGGTTAGGAGATAGGGAGGGCTGGTGGGAATTACTGAGTTTCACGATGATAACTGAATTATTTCTTGAAATGTGAGCAAGGGTCACAGACAAACTAGAGGCAAGAACATTACAAGACAAATAAGAAGCATGAGCACCAAAGCACAAAACCACCCAGTTTGATCAAAGAAATGTTAAGAGTTCAATATGGCTAAAGTAAGGACATAAGGCAGAGCTTAGAGGAGGGACAAAATCACAGGGGAAGGCAAGGGTCATGCTTTAAAATGGAGAATCACTGAGGGCAGTTAACCTAGACAATGATGTGATCAATTGTGCATCTCAGAGGGATCACACTGGAAACAGGTCGTTACAAGGTTGGAAGGAGAATGAGATTAGAAATAAAGAGACCAGTTAAGAGAATTACAATTGTCTACACATTAGATAATTAAAGACTTAATTTATTATGCCTTTGTTCATTTATTATGTTCATTTATTGTTCATTTATTATGCCTATGTTCATTCATTCATTAAAGAAAAATTTGAGGGGGCCTATCATTTTCTAAGCATAACACTATATGCTACTGATATATTAGCAAAGAAATAAGGTGTCTGTCCTTAAAGAGTTTATGGGGTAATTGTGGCAGTGTAGACAGGTAAGAGGGAATGGATATGATTATAGGATTGGTAATATAAGAGGAGCAGTTAATGCCTCTCATGTTGGATTCATATTGAGATGACTCTTTGATCAAAAACCCCTTGCTGGATTTGATAAAACACTGCCACCTTACCTCTACTTGTGTCTCACCTGAATTTTCTTTTGTATCTTGGATGCTGCAGATCTGGGAATAAACCAGGTTGCTCTCACCAAGATCCACTGCAAAACAATAGATCACAGTTGGCTGCAGTCAAGAGCTCACACTATAAACTCTTCTTCCCAGTCACCAAGTTTATAACCACCTTCTAACCTTGACATAGTGACAGAAATGACATTTTTATATTGAATATGACTGAACCATGGACTGTTGCTCAATCTCTCTTCCCTCCCTTGTTCCTCCCTGGAGCCCTCTGTTCCTTAGGAAGTTCTCACCATTGCTGTACACTGGCTGCTGTTCCATTGGGTCTGGTGGTTCAGAGTAAGTGGGTTCTTGGGGGTCTGTGTGGGAGGTTCTAGAAGGTTCCTTAAACTCCTTGGGACTGTAACTGTGACAGAAGGGGAGAGAGACAAAAAGGAGAAAAGTATTTGTGGATTACACAGAATCTCAGGAAAATCAATATCCAGGAAGAGCTCAGCATGGTTCATGTGAAAATATCATGGCTGCTACTCTGAGTCTTCATGCTTCTTTTAAGAAAACGTCAGAAGTATGGCACAAGACAGAGCCAGGGCAGCGTCACAGAGAAGGCCAGCTGAGGCAAGGTCAGAGGACAAAGCCTACATAGTTCAAGGTCCCTTTGACAGAGTAAACACTTGTGTTTGCCTATTTTTTATTACTTTCAAAAGTTTAAATGTTTCAACATTGGTACACAAAGGCTTCTGCATTCCACAGAAGTTGACCTTTGTCCTTTTTTAGGTTCCTTTCAGTTTTCTACCTCATATTACAATGATCTACCTTTCCTGTAAAATATTATGAAGGCTTTTCAGGAAAAGTATTTTTTTCCAATTTCATTTCCTTCTGCAGTTAATATTGTGAGTTGAACATTGCCAGCATTCAATAATTGTTTCCTGAATGAGTGTATGAGTGGGGAAATGAGTGATAAGGGAGTGAATAAATGTAGCCTTATGAAAGATGATATCATTAAGACATCAGTGATCAATTCTCTACTGGCGCACACTTAAGGAAGGAGATAAATTAACCATGGATAGTAAATAACATTATTTCTGTGTATAAGTAGGTATAAGTGAGTATTATTCACAACTATGATCGAAAGTGGCCTTCTTAATCACATTTTTTATTTCATAAGAATTTGAAATTTTAATAGGAAATGAGTAAAATATTTTTAATGTACATAATTCCATGTTCTATCTTGTGAGCATAAATAAAATGAAAATGCTGACAGCACAAGAAGCAGAGACCTCACCTAGGTGTTCCAGTGGTGGAAAGTCCTCCTGAAAAACAAAAAAAGGAACATTGATGATAATTGATCTCTGTGGACAATGTGCTCTATGTTAGAATATCCTTTCCCAGAAATCAAATTCAGTCTAGATTTCAGCTATGGCAAACCTTTGAGAACATCCGGCTCCACCCCTTATGTCATGTTATAGATAAAGAAGGTGGGGTCTGGAGAGACATTTGCACAGAATCACACTTATTCTCAATCATTCAATCAGTAATAGCAGCATGAACTCTAAGTAGTTGTGACGAAGTAGCAGAAGAGAGACAACTTAATATTTAACTCTAGATCAAGTGCTTCCCATACTCCCACTTCTCTATTCTCACTGCAGCCCTATGAGGTAGAGACAAAGAGACTGAGGCCTAGAGGGGGGTTAAAATTAATACTTGTTACACAAGTATGACTCAATAGGACTACCAGAATAAGCCCAGACCTTTCTTTATCTCTGACCTTGCAAATCCATTTCAACAACATTGGGTGCATATTGTTTTCTCCATACCCCTTCTTTCCTTCGCTTTCACCTGGCTAATACCAATTTATCTTTCCTCCTCCAGAGCTTTCCCTGATGCCAACAGGCTGGATTAAGTGACCTATATCCATGCACATAGAACCCTGCAATATTAAAATTACTATATTGTATTTTAATTATCTATTTCTGTGTTTGCCTCTAATTCTCTCCTTCGTGAAAAGGTGTGTTACTTGAAGGCGCAAAACTTGTCTTAATTATTTTTCTATTTCCAGTGCCTAGAAGTTTGAAAATATTTAGTAAAGATTTGTTAAACGACTGAACAAATTAAACTATGTACTATGAGGACTAAAAGAAAAACAAGTTGACAATTTTTTAATAGGTGACTACATGTAAACCTAATTTGGAAGCCTACTCCATCAGCCTTGAAAATATGCCAGCTTTCCATCAACACAAAAATATTGAAATCTTTCTGGCCTGCCCAGTACAGCCTCCTCCCAGTTTCCCATCTCTGCCCTTTGCCTACTTATCTGTGGCTCTATATCTGTCTCACTGGTCTTAGAGGACACAAGTTATTTCCCAAAGTAAACATATTCAGCCTTACCTCTCATGGAAAATGACTGATTAATGCCTACAAACCCCATCTTTGGGAACCAGGTGTCCTGAGTTAAACTAGAGGTGTGTAAGTGTGATCCTGGCCTGTATCTCTCTCCTCAGGGCCATTGTAACCATATCAATCAACAACTAATACCCTTACTTGTAAGCAGGTTAACTAAGTCCCAGGATGCATCTGAGAGTCAGATTATCTCTTCATCTGCATAAAGGAAAACAGACCCAGAAGGTGGCTATTTATAATATAAGCTAGTATTCACTAAAGATATATGGGCCAGGCACTGTGCTAAGCAGTTTACATAGATTGTCTCATAGCACCTAAAAGGTATATACTATTATTATGACCATTATACAGCTAAGGAGACTGGAGTTTGGAGAGTTACATTACTGGAATTTAATTCCAAGCAGTTATAGAGTCAATAAATATATCACTCCCTTAGGTAACTTGGAGGAAACACTCAGGCTTAAGGAGTAGAGTCCTTCACTTTTAGATGAAAGGCCTGAGCTCTTCCCTGAGAAGACTGGTCAATAATGAGAAGGAAGACTTTGCTATGAGGGAAGTACAGTAGACAAGATTTTGAGATGTGAAAGGCAGAGACCCTCTGATTGACACTGTCAGAATTCCTTAGTTGAGTTTGCTATTTAAAAAAACATTTCCCTTAGATGTAGAGGACAGAATCTCCTGGGTTTCTGCCCTCATGGATCACATTAAATAATGATTGGTAATCTTTCCTTCCCTTGTGTTATTTGGTGGTGTACTGACTGAGCAACCTGTTTTTTTAATATTATCAACTGCAATACTGAGGTTCTAATGTCTGCACTTCTAGTATGTTACTGATTAATAAATGACATCCAGATAGGTAATGAGATAGAAAAGTAATTTTTAAAGTAGGAGGTACAACCAGCCTTTTACAAGTCACCAAGATGTAATGGAGAGTATATGGACTCAAGGGCTAGGGAGACCCCAGTTAAGACCTAACTCTGACTCTTAGTAGATACACATGAATTTGGAAAGGTGTCTAACTTCTCCAAATCTTCATTTCTTCATCTTTAATATGGTTATAATGATATTGGTTTAATTGAAGTGAAATGTACATACTGAAAAACTGAGAGAATTAGACACTATAAAATTGCATATAATAGACTCTACATGAATGACAGATTTTATGATGAGTACTATCAGGGTTAGTGCTACACACATAATTGTATATGTAATATTATTTAAGAAACTATTAAGTAGCTTTAAATATCAGTCATAAAATGATGATGCCATTTTTTATACAAAGAAGAGGAAGGATGGATGCTCATTGATTGACCTGAAAGTGGAAGTCAGAAGACAATGCTTAACCACTATCATTAAGGAAAGTATGTAAAGCTTTCATTAAATTGAGACCCAATTATTTGTTTATTTGCTTGATTTTCAATATGAGCCCTGAAAAAGGAAAACAGAACCATTTGGTCTGACAGAAAAAGAGAGTTCATGTTACACCACAGAGAAAGACAGAAAGTAAAGGATTAGTAATTCCAGATATAAAGTCTTGAAACCTTATAAGCACCCAAAGCACTGAATAAAACAGTCTATGCACTCAAAGATTTCTGATCCATGAAAAAACATTCAGAGAGAAAAATAAAAGCAATCACATAAGAAAAAGGCAAGGATTATGACAGATTTCTTGTTAGAAACCATGCACACAGGAAGACAGTACAGCATCTTTAAAATATTGAAAGAAAACAAAATTTTCAACCCAGAATTCTATGCCAGTAAAAATATATTTCACAAATGAATGCAAAACAGAGACTTTTACAGACATACAGAAGCTGAAATAATTCACCACCAGCAGACCCATACTACAAGAAATGTTAAAAGAAATCTTTTAGGTGGAAAGAAAATGATACCAGATGAACATATGGATATACAAAAAGGAATGAAGAACATTGGAAGTGGTAACTTTATAAGTAAATGTATAATATTTTAAAATTATATGTAAACTTCTTTAAAAGATAGTTGTTTATAAAATTAATAGCAATGTAACAGGCAGGGGAGAAATGGAGTACACAATGGTAAGATTCTTATGCTATACATGAAGTGATAAAATGTCACTTGAAAGTAGACTGTGATAAGTTAGATATGTATACCATACACTCTAAAACAACCACTAAAATAACAAAGCAATGAGTTATATAGATAATAAGCCAAAAAAGGAAATAAAATGGAATCATAAAAAATACTCAAGTGGTCCAAAAGAGGGTAGAAAAAAAAAGGAAACGGAAAACAAAGAACAGATGAGACAAATAGAAAACAAATAGCAAAATAATAGATTTAGGGACCTAACCCTATCAATAATCACATTAATCTAAATGGTCTAAATTTTTAAAATTAAAGGGTAGAGACTGCCATATTAGATTAAAAAAATCCAAGTTAACTATATGCTATCTATAAAAATACACTTTAAATATAGAGGCACAGGGCTTCCCTGGTGGCGCAGTGGTTGAGAGTCCGCCTGCCAATGCAGGAGACACGGGTTCGTGCTCTGGTCTGGGAAGATCCCACATGCTGCGGAACGGCTGGGCCCATGAGCCATGGCCGCTGAGCCTGCGCATCTGGAGCCTGTGCTCCACAACGGGAGAGGCCACAACAGTGAGAGGCCTGCGTACCGCAAAAATAAAAAAAATAAAAAAAATAGAGGCACAAATAAGTTAAAAGGGTAGAAAAAAGAAATATCATGCTAACATTATTTATATTAATATATTAATGTCAAAGAATATTTCAGAGTAAATGATGCTACAGGAATAAAAAGGTCATAAGGATAATGTGGTCATTTCATCAAAAACACATAACAATGATAAATATTTGTGCACCTAATAATAAAGTTTCAAAATACATGAAGAACATGTGATAGAATTGCAAGAAGAAATGGAAACATTTACAAATATTGTTGAAGATTTCAATACCCTTCTCTCAATAACCGATAGATCAAGTAAAAAGAAAATCAGAAAGGATATAGAAGACTTCAGCAACACTGTCAATCAAGTTCACAAACAAACCCATAGTACAAGAAATGTTAAAAAGAAGTCCTTCAAACTGAGAGAGAATGATACCATATGGATGTATGTATATACAAAAAGGAATGCAGAATTCTGGAAGTGATAACTAAGTGGGTATTACCTAGACATCAAGCCAGAAAAAGAAATGACAAGAAAATAAAACTACCAAATCAATATCCCTTATGAACATAGGTGCAAACGTTCTTAAAGATTTTAGCAAATCAAATTCAAAAATTATAAGCAAGTGAGGTTGACCCCAGAAATGCAAAGCCAGTTCAACATTCAAAATCCAAAACCTGTATCACTAGACTAGAAAATAAAATCATATGATCATCTCAATCAATGTAGAAAAAACATTTGTCATTTCTTCTGTAAAAACTGTCAGCAAATTACAATTAGTAGAGAGTTCTTCAGCCTAATAAACAGCAGCTACAAGAAATCCACAGCTAATATTATCATATGCAGTGGTGAAAGTCCAAACACTTTCTCCCCTTTAAGTTCAAGAACAAGACAAGTAGGTCTATTCTCAACACTTCTATTCAACATTGTACAGGAGGTTCTAGCCAGTCCATTAAGGCAAGAAAAAGAAATAAAAGGAATCCAGATTGGAAAGTAAGGAGTAAAATTATCTTTATTCCCAGATGACTTGATCATCTATGCAGAAAAATCTGATGGAACCTACAAAACTAATACTAGAATTAATAAGTGTGTTTAGCAAGGTTGCAGGATATGAGATCAATGTACAAAAATCAACTGAATTTCTATATACTAGCAACAATCAGAAATTAAAATTTTAATTTCATTCTCATAATATCTATTGATTTTATCTACTAACAAATATCACTGTCTTTATATGCTTTTCAAATATATCTCAGAGTTTATGGTTTGTACTTATGGCTATTGTCTATTTTTGTTGTTGTGACAAGTGGAGGACTTTGTTTTTCCTTCTTTTTGTTTTCAGTAAGCTTTGGACTGAGGTTGGAACAGTAAATACTTAACTTTCTAATTTTTAAATGGAAGCTAAACTCTGTTCTCTGATTTAAATCTCAAATTAAATACATGGAGTAGTAACTTCATTAAGAAATTTGTTGTACCTTTTTGTCACTGCCACAGAGTGGCAGTGATTAGAACTGAGGGCTTAGTACTTGGAAAGGGATAATTGACCTTTATAGGATGTACTACACAAGTCCAAGTTATTACAGCAATGGCAAAAGTCACAACATCAAAGAGTAAGATATAGTCACTCACCTGAATTCCTTTGGGTCCTGAAGTAACACACCAGAGCAGCAGTAGCAGCAAGGCCAAGGATACTTAGCAGTCCTGCAGTGACCCCCTTGGTGATAAGCGTTATTTTGTTACTGGAAGGCCCTAAGTAAAGAGACCTATACTTGAGTTCAGGGCCAAATATTTTTTTATCTAGACAAAAAACATGTATGTGGGGGCTAGCTATATATTAGGACAGGTTTTGCCAGGTTCTGATTTCTCAATTTGAATCATTTACAGTATAATTCGTAATTTTCAAAATAATAGCACATGAGAGTGATTGCCAGAATCTAACATTAAAATGTATTCCTTTTCCCTCCCTCACCCCCATGAAATCAGTACCAGTCTCCAGAAACTTCAAGCCTTGTTTTCATGTTAATAACTCTTTGACACTGGGAGAATTTCTACAGTCTATTGGAGAAATATTTTATTGCTTATAAATGTAACCTATAGCCCAGGTACCACCAACCCACCTGTGACGCTGAGTGTCACCATCTCACTGCGCTGGACCCCCAGGCCATTGTCAGCCCCACAAGAGAAGTTCCCAGAATGCTCTGCCATCAGAGTGAGGTTGAAGGATGCTCCTCCTCCAAAGGGGTCCGAGATGCTCCCCAGGGTGACATTCTTGTGATAAAACCAGTACAGGATCGGGGGAGAGCCTCTTTGGGCCTCACAGCGAAGCTCTAACACATCTCCCACCATAGCCTGGGCCCCAGCAGGGTGGAAGGTGAAGACAGGATGAGACACTGGAACTGAGGGAAGCAACATAGTTCATGAGCAGCTTTAATTAAGTATGTGTACAAGATAAGTTAATAAAGGAAATATTTAGTTTAGTTTAGTAGTAGGAACATAGACCTGGGATTCAGGAAAACCTGAGTTTAAATCCCGTCTCTGCTCTTTATTAACCCTGTGATCTTGATGTTTTAAAAACTTTTTACTAGCTCCAAGTCTCAGTTTATTCCTTTGTAAAATGGAGCTAATAATAATTATATCACAAGCTATGGTAATAAGAATCATGTATGTAAAATGCTCGATAAATGTTAGCTACTATTACTGATAGAAATAATAACTAAAAGCAAGGTTTGTTTCTCCATATCATTGATTGACTCCTGAGACTTAGCTTTAAACCTAGACTTCCACACCTATCTGAAGTAGGACCTCATTACCTTTTACCCAGTTACCTTGCTTTATTTTTCTGCATAGCATTAACACTAACATCTATCAATCTATGTATCTATGTATCTCTCTCTTATCTATCTATCATCTATCATTGTTGTATATCTGATTCCTCTAATAGAATGTACGTTTCATAAGGATGAGGACATATCTGTTTGTTCATTTTTGTATTTCCGGCTGCTGGAACTTTGTCTTGGCATGTAATAGTTCATCAACAATTCGTGAATGAGTGGATGACAAAATTGATCCAGATTGGCCCCAAAATATCCAGACACAGCAATAACAACATGATTTCCATTTTACTTTGTGATTATAGAAATAGGACAGCCAGGAAAAACAGAAAATCACTATGTTTTTAATTAATATATGGAATTATTAATCAATAATTAATTAATGTGAACTGTGAGATTGCTGATTCTGCTAAGTTGTGAGGGAACCTGGATGAGCCAATCTGTGTGCAGTGCTTTAGATATAAGCTGTGTGCTTCATTGGCAAGAGAAGTTTGGTAAGGATCTTAAGCTTTGCTTTGCATCTGAGATTGGCAAAAGGGGAGGGAACATGGAGACAATCCATTGAATGGGAATAATTCACCCTTCTGTACATCCTTTACAATATATAGTGACCTGGGCCAAATGCGAAGAGTCTCAGGGGTAAGGCTTTATACATTCTTTGCACATCTCAGTGTGCCTTTCCACCCATGTCACCACCTCATATATTTTTATCCAATTTTTATTGCTGTAAAATGCTCATAACTTAACATTTTCCATCATAAACTTTTTAAGTGTACAGTTAAGTGGTATTAAATAATTTCATGACATTGTGAAACCAATACCACCATCCATCTCCATAACTTTTTACCTTGTAAAAGTGAAATTCTATACCCGTTAAACAATAACTCCCTATACTCCATTTCCCCACCCCGTGACAAGCACCAGGTTACTTTCTGTTTCTATGATTTTGACTAACCTAAACATCTTATATAAGTGGGATCATACAGTATTTGTCTTTTATTGACTGGTTTGTTTCACTTAGCATAATGACCTCAAGATTCATCCAGGTTGTAGCATAATTTTCTTTCTTTTTAAGTCTGAGTAATATTTCATATTATGTGCATACCACACTTTGCTTATCCATTTATCTATTGATAATGGATATTGGGTTATCAACAGATAAACGGACTGGGTTGTTTCCATGTTTTAGCTATTATGAATAATGTTGCTCTGTACACGCGTGTACAAATATCTTTTTGAGAATATATTTTCAGCGTTGGGGGATGTATACCCAGAAGTGGAATTTCTGTATCATATGGTAGCTCTATTTTTAATTTTCCGAGGAGCCTCCATAGTGTTCTCAATAATGATTTCATCATTTTACATTCCTACCAACATTACACAAGGATTCCAATTTCTCCACATCCTAGCCAACACTTGTTATTTTCTATTATTTTTATAGTACCCATCCTAATGAGTATGAGGTGATATTTCATTGTAGTTTTGGTTTGCATTTCCCTAATAATGAGTGATGTTGAGCATTTTTTTCATGTATCTAATAGCCATTTATATGTCTTCTTTGGAGAAATGTCTATTCAAGTCCTTTACTCATTTTTTTAATGAGTGCCCCATGACGCCAGCCCCTGCCCCTCAACCCACAACGGCAGAGTCCACAAACCTTATGACATCAGAAAGGGTATAGGTGCCAGCCTGACCCTAGCTCCCACCCTACCCCCTTGCTTTGCCTGCATTGGTGGAGCCTCTGACTCAAGGGATCCCAGACACGAGAGAACAGCCCACCATCCTGGGGCACCAGGTGATGATAACAGCAACAGTTCAGGAGCAAAGCAGCAGTAACTCCGGAGGCACAGGAAGTGATAATAGAGCCACACTTCTTATAGAGAGAGGGGAGGATGGAAAGTGACTACTCTCAAACATAGCCAGAGGCAGCTTAGGTAAGAGAAACCAAAAACTTATGCCATACCACCACCTACTGGAAAACAAAAGAAAGGCCTCTGATATCTAACTGTCACCACATCAAGTGCACCAGCAGAGAAACTACCCATCAAGTACCATGAAGAATCACAGTAACACTGTACCACAAAAAGAAACTGGCAATTCTCCAGAAACCAAACTTACAGTCATGAAATATTGTGATCTAGCTGAGAAAGAATTCAAACTTACAGTCATGAAATATTGTGATCTAACTGAGAAAGAATTCAAAGAAAGTCAAAATAGTTGTCATTCAGAAACTCAACAAGCTACAAGAACACTCAGAAAGCCAGATTAATGAGCTCAGAAATAAAATTAATGAACAAAAGAAATACTTTACCAGAGATATTAAAACTCTAAAAAAGAGCCAAACAGGAATTCTGGAATTGAAGAACTGAATAAATGTTGAGAAGAATGCCTTGGAAAGCACTAGAAATAGATCAGACTATATGAAAGAGAGAATTAGCGATCTCAAGATAGAAATCTAGACATGATACAAGTATAAGAGGAGAGATAAATAAGATAATTTTAAAATGAGGGAATTCTCCAAGACCTATCTGACTCTTTTAGGAAAGGCAACATTAGTATAAGGGGTGTCCCAGGAGAAAACAGGGAGAGGCGAACAGAGAGTATATATAAATAAATAATAGCTGAGAACTTCCCAAACCTAGGAAAGAAACTGGATATACAAATCCATGAAGCTAAGAGAACACTTAATTACTTCAAAGCAAAAATACCTTTTACAAGACATGTTATATTAAAATTGTCAAAAGTCAATCACAAAGAAAGAATTTTAAGGCAGCCTGGGGGAAAAAAGGATGGTAACCTACAAAAGAATCTCCATGAGCCTAACATCAGGTTTCTCAACAGAAATTCTACAGGACAAGAGGGTATGGAATGACATTCTCAAAATACTGAGAGATAAAAAGTGTCACCCAAGAATATTTTTTCCAGCAAAGTTATTATTCAGATATGAAGGAGAAACAAAGACTTTCCCATATGAATGAAAGCTGAGGGAATACATCAACACTGGTTCTGCTTACAAGAATTGTTGAAAGAAGCTCTTCTACAAAAAACAAAAAGGCAAAAGTATACAAAACTTTGAGGAAACTGAAATAGACAGAATCAGAAAATTGCAGCTCTTTATCAGAATAGGTTTTAAACACTTTATTATAGCATAAAGGTAAAAGGGGGGAAGCCAGAAAAATAACTATAGCTACTTCAATTTGGTATAAAACTCACAATACAAAAAGAGATAATTTGAGACAATAAAAACATAAAAGGGGAAGAGGAAAAGGATGGAACCCATATAGGTAAATGAAGATAAGATTCTATCAGCAGAAAACAGACTATTTTATCTAGGAGAGGTCTTATGCAAACCTCAGTGTAACCACAAAATATAAGTCTAGAACAGAGATACAAAACATGAAAAAAGGGAAACTGAGAAAAATATCATAAAAAACCACAAAACCAAAATGGCAGGCAGAAACTTAAGGGGAAGAAAAAAATGGAGATATAGAGCAACCTGAAAATGAAAGGTAAAATGGCAATACTAAATTCTCCTTTATCAATAATAACCTTAAATGTAAATGGGTTGAATTCACTAATCAAAAGACATAGAGTGGCTAGATGGAGTAAAAAATAAGACCCAATTCTATGCTGTCTCCAAGAAACTCACATTACCTTTAAAGACAAACATAGGCTCATAGTGAAAGGATGGAAGATGATACTCCATGCATATGGCAGCCAAAAAAAAAAAAAAAAAAAAGTGGGTATAGCCATGCTCATATCAGAAGAAATAGACCTCAAGCCAAAAAAGATAACAAAGGACAAAAATGGACATTAATTGTGATAAAGGGGACAATTCATCAAGAAGACGTAATAGTGATAAATATATATGCACATAACATAGGAGCACCAAAATATACAAAGCAATTATTAACAGACCTAAAGGGAGAAATTGACAGCAACACAATAATAGTAGGGAACTGTAACACCCCACTATTAATGGATAGATCATACAGAAAGAAAGTCAACAAGGAAACAGCAGCCTTAAAAGATACATTAGACCAGATGGACTTGATAAATTTATACAGAACATTCCATCCAAATGCAGTAAAATACACATACTTCTTAAGTGCTCATGAAACTTTCTCAAGAATAGACCATATGTTGGAATACAAAACAAGTCTCAATGAATTTAAGAAGATTGAAATCATATCAACCATCTTGCCTGTTCACAATGGTATGAAACTAGAGATCAACCACAAGAAGAAAGCTGGAAAATCACAAATATGTGGAGACTAAACAACAAGCTGCTAAACAACTATTGGGTCAAACAAGAAATCAAAGGTGAATTGAAAAAATACCTGAAGACAAATGAAAATGAAAATATGACATACCAAAATTTAACTTTGCACATAAAGGAACTAGAAAAAGAAGAACAAATGAAGCCAAAAGTCAGTAGGAGGAAGGAAATGATAAAGATTCAAAGAGAAATGAAATATACACTAAAAAGAAAATAGAAAATATTGATAAAAACTAAGACCTGATTCTTTTAAAAGATGGACAAAATTGCCAAACCTTTAGCTAGACTCACTAAGAAAAATGAGAGAAGGCTCTGATAAATAAAATCAGAAACGAAAGAGGAGCTATAACAATGAATGCCCAGAAATACAAAGGATTATACAAGAATATTGTGGACAGTTATATGCCAACAAATTGAGCAACCTAGAATAAATGGGCAAATTCTTAGAATCACACAACCTTCTGAGACTGAATCATAAAAAAATAAAATCTGAATGACCAATCACTAGGAAAGAGACTGAAATAGAAATCAAAAACCTCCCAAGAATAAAAGTACAGGACCAGATAACTTCACAGGTGAATTCTACCAAACATTCAAAGGTGCTGTAAATCCTATCTTTCTCAAAATATTCAAAAAACCTGAAGAGAAGGGAATACTTCCTAACTTATTTTACAAGGCTAACATCACCCTGACACCAAAACCAAAGACAACACACAAAAAAGAAAATTACAGGCCAATATCTCAGGTAACATAGATGCAAAAATCCTCAACAGAATATTAACAAACCGAATACAACAGTACTTTAAAAGGATCATACACCATGATCACGTGGGATTTACTCCATGTATGCAAGAGTAGTTCAACATTTGCAAATCAATCAACATGGTACATCACATCAATAAAATAAAAAGTAAAAATCATATGACCATCTTGATAAATGCAGAAAAACCATTAGGAATGGCCTAAGTTCCTGAATGTAGAGTCAGAAGAAAGAATCCCAGGACTCTCAGGTAGAGGAAGAAAAAGTGGGGAGTCTGCTGGAATGTCACACCAGCAAGTAGCCCAAAAGAGAAGACACAGTCTATTCTGGGCTGTAATTGCTGCAGGCACCCCTACTAACCTGTGACACTGAGAGTCACTCTGTCACTGAGCTGGACCCCCAGGCCATTGTCAGCCTCACAGGAGTAGTTTCCAGAATGTTCTGCAGTCAGAGAGAATTTGAAGAATGCTCTTCCAGAGGGAACTGAGCTGCTCCCCAGGCTGACACCATCATGATAAAATCAGTACAGGATCGGGGGAGAGCCTCTCCAGGCCTCACAGTGAAGCTCCATCACGTCCCCCACCACAACCTGGGCCCCAGGAGCCCTGAGAGTGAGGACAGGGCGAGACACTGGAACTGAGAGAGATAGTAGACTGTCAGAGGACTCTGATGCTGTGACAGACTCATAACCCCACTCAAGAAACTTAAATATAGATATATCTCTTGAACCATGAAGAGTAATCCTAAATAATTTTGTTTTCATCACTACGGTCCTCTCCACAAGTAAAAACTCTGTTCCTTTGCCTTCTTCCAAAGAGCCTCATGGCTGATAGAACGCCTAAACCCTGGCTTGTGAACCGAGGCTGAATAGAAGGAATCGGGAACTTACTTCTCAGTGTGACTTTAATCAGTTTACTGAGGATGGGACCGTGAATGTTGTCAGCTGCACAGTAGTATCTCCCAGCATCATGCTCCTTCACAGTGAGTATCTGCAGCTCTGCCGACAAGGAACGCTGGGTCTTTGTTCCCAAACTTCTCACTGTGCCCTCTCTGTGCCAGGAGAATGTGACAGTCCCTGTACCCTTGGCTACTGAGCAGATAAGGAGCAGATTTTCTCCTTCAATCAGCTGCCCCTCGGGGGGCCGGATCTCTAGATTTACATCAGACACAGGGACTCCTGGGAGGACACAAGATGACACATGAGGGTTCTCATGGCAGAAACTTCAGGGTCAAGGAGAAGGCTGGTTCTGTCACGAACAAGCCCATAGCAGCAGGTACAATAAGCAGGGGTCCAAAGTGGGCAATAAGGAATTAATTGTGCATGTTATTATAAAGGCAGAAACACCCCTCCCACCACATACAACAGTTCCCATTCTTGGGGAATGTGGGGACTAGGCTCCTGATCTTCTTAAACCTGATGCTGACTGCAGTCACATTTTATTTACATTTATATCTAAGGAATCTTTGGTGAGCTGATGGATCACAAAATAAGAGTGAACCCTGAGAATATTACTTCTATCCTGAAATTCAAACCCCTTTCCTATCCTTCAAGACTCTTCTCCAGTCTCACCTCCATCTTCCCACATTCTTTTCTGATTATTCCAGTTCATGTTTGTCTTCCACTTTTATTTTGGAATATGTTTAGGTCAACAAACGGAAGCAGCATAGGGACCTCTAAAGACTGCATGTGGTCATCTGTGTCTGTTGACTTTTTTTTTTTTTTGCGCTACGCGGGCCTCTCACTGTTATGACCTCTCCTGTCGTGGAGCACAGGCTCCGGATGCGCAGGCTCAGCGGCCATGGCTCACGGGCCCAGCCGCTCCACGGCATGTGGGATCTTCCTGGACCGGGGCACGAACCTGTGTCCCCTGCATCGGCAGGCGGACTCTCAACCACTGTGCCACCAGGGAAGCCCTATCTGTTGACTCTTGAGAGAACATATCCTGTAAGTCTCTGTAACCACCCCCCCCCACAGGGTTGGGGACCCAGTAACTGATCAATAACTGTTATTAACTGAGTTAGATGGAAGAGAATGTTCTAGGGACATTAGGCCAGTGTTGAACCTGAAGAGAGAAGGATACCAGGACAGCTGAAATTCTCCTCTCTGTTATGTTCAGTGTCCTAGGGAGCAGGAAATGTCATTGCTCTCCTCTCCTCTCCCCAGCTCTGACTCTGGAAGTGCAGCCCCACAGACACTCACTCTGCACATGTATCTGGGATCTCAAGCTTCTTTTCCTGACATGGTGAGTCACTGTCTCTGCCTGGCACCAGTAAGACCCTGAGTCTTCACTCCACATGGTAGGTAAATTGAGCTCTGGGGAGCTGCTCCAGCCTGATCCCAAGGCCTGCTCTTCTCTGAAGAAGCAGAATTGAAGCTGAATGTATGACCGCTGTGGAGGGAGCCAAGTCTCACATTTCAGAGTCACCGGTCTCCCCTCTATGGGCTGAGAGGGTCTGGCTGTCAGCACAGGAGGGGAAAACAGCTCTAGAGAGAAGAACAAACACAGTTCCCAAGGTAGTGAGGCTCAGGGCTCCTGGAAAGATGCACGTGTGCTTTCAGCACCAGCTATCAGAACACAGAGACCCAAGTAGGTGGAACCACTTCCCATCTCCCTCCCATGACTGGAGGATTTTCATGAAATCCCCACTGATGAGCCCCTCCCTAAATCCTCACACAGTTTCCCTGCCAAGTCCTATTACCCACAGGAGGGCATCCATTACCTTGAACTTGAATTGTTAGAGGTTTTGAAATGTCTCTCTTTGTTCCCCAAAGGTTTTTCCTAGAAGCAGTACAATGATATTTGCCATTGTCCCTGGAGACTGAATTTAGTGTGAAGTTTGGTATAGAACTCTTCCTAATTTCTTTTTTATTTTTGTATAAAACTGTTTCACTTGTTGCTTCTCTCCCCTGGCATCTCAGAACAACATCATCTCCTTCAAAGACAGGGTGTGGAGCCTGGATGATCAGTCTGTCTGCAAAGAGTGGAGGAATGCAATCAATTTATTTCCTGAAGCTTGTTTCTTCAAACTCTCATTTCTGCCCATGAAGAAAGAGCTGCAATCCTATACATACCTGCAACTGTCCTCCATCAACATTTCCACATGATCCCAAAACCCAGTTCTCCCTTGTCCTAGGATAATGAACTAATTTCCAGAAAATATCCTTAAGAAATCCTCATACATATTGTTAAAAGAGAAGTTTTATACCATACATTTCTTCAGACCCAAGTCCCTTTTTCCTGGTGACTTCCCCCATACTTACCAATACTTCTTACCAATACTTACCAATACTTCTCTGGATGGAGAGGATGGACAAGGCAGCATTCTGTTGCTATCCTATCTCCTTATTTTCCCCACTGGGGTCAATACATCAAATATCCTCATGCCTGTTTGCAGCCCTGCCTAGGCTCCCTGCATTAGCGTAGCCCTTAGACATGCTGCCCAGTGGTTTAATTTCAGAGACTCCCTCCTTTCTTTCCTCACCAGATAAAAAATCCATATGTACGGGGTCACTGGGAGAGGATCTTCGAGTCTTGCATTTGTAATATCCAGTCTCGTGTATTTGGATCTCTTCAGATTTATTATCCAACAAATGATCATCATGATACCAAGATATGTCTCCTTGGGCTGGAGAAAGGGAATCTCTGCATGTGAGAGTCACTCTGTCATTTTTGAAGTTTGTAGACCATGGAGGATTGAGGAGAAGAAAAGCTTTTGGAGTTACTCCTGAATAGGAAATGGAAAGACGAAGGCAGGTAAAGGTGAATGAGAGGTGGGTGGGGCGTAAGGAAGGGCCCAGCTGCAACTAGGAGTTTTTCTGGGCTAATTCCTATTAGGACTAGGGCTGGAAATGGAGCAGACACAACTTGGGGAACTGCCTGGGACAGAATCTGTTCTTTGTCATTTTTTGCCTAGTAGCAGTGAGTGGGTGGGTAGGTGTCATGCGGGATAGGTCTCAGGTTCCTGGTATGGGCTCAGAAAAGTTCAGGAGACATGATTTGTAGTTAGGCAAACACTGTGAGGGCCTCTGAAGGTGGGCTGATTCTGAAGTGCTCTTGTCCTATACCTTCCTGTCAAGGTAAAAGTCAACCTGGGATGTATATACCTCAGAAGCAGTTTCTAGACTCTGAAAAACCAGTACCTACTTGGTTATTAATATCTAATGAACAAGATTTGTTTCACTTACAATTCTTTTAAACTTTGCTTAATTTGAGAGTCTATGGGGAAGGCAACATTTTTCTACTCTCCGCCTAAGGTGAGTATAATCAGTAATTGATACAGGATATAAAAAATTTGAACAAAGGGGCATGGACTGCTTGCATAATCATATTTGTATATATAATTGCAACTAACCAATGGGACCAGAAATTGAAACAGTGTAGTGACATGAGCTTCTTTTGGAGATGTATAAAGATTTGGCTCTAGCATTTTCCACTGTGAATAGGAGATATTTCTATGTTCTTTGATAGTGGCACCAGCTTGGACATACAGAGGGGTCTTAGGGTATAGAGGAGATCAGATTTGAGTTTCTCTCAATATCAGCCTCCTGCCTCTGCCTTTCCTTCTGCAAATATTTCCTTCCCCTCCGCACTGTGGCATTCAGTAATAGGGAAAGAACTGAAGACTGGAGAAGTCAGAGGAGAGTCTGCTCACCCACTAATGCAACAGGTGTGACCTCGGAGTAGCAATACCACTGATGTTGGCACATCACCACAGGCCTCATTTATGGGTACAGGCAGTGCTGGCTGGGAGGACCAATGCCCAGAGACCAGGAGGAACAGAGAAAAGGGAAAACTGACCTGATTGATCTCTTCCAGGAGCTGTGAGGGAGCCAAGATTTAAAGGTTAGCACAGAGTAAAGTTTTTCAAACCTTTTCACTTATGCAATTTGAGAAGTGTTCCAACAACCCAGCCACAACCACTTCTTCGGTTTTTCCTTCCCATTTCTTTGCCCCCATTCTATGATACCCATAGTCCCCAAACAAAGAAACAAAAAAGAATAGCCTATAATTTATTGTATAAATATGAATGACTTGTACCCACAATCCTGACTCTTCTCTTTGCTATTTAATACTTAGCAGCTTCATAGTTCATTCCCCCCTGTCTTCCCTAGTCTGAACTCAGCCATGTAGAGACAGAAAAGGCCTTGGAGAAATGGTTTCTCCTCCCCTCATTACTTGGGTACTGTTCCTCCTACTTTTTCAATCTCTAGCTAAATACTGGCTTAAAGTCTCAGGAAGCGGGGTCATATTTCTCAGTAGATCTTCCCTTACTCAACTGAATTTTGAAAAATATTGTTTATGTGAGGGATTTAGAAGGGGTTTGGTGGAAAGAAACATCCAAGCTTCTTATGAGATGAAAAAGAAATGGTTGAAGAATCAAGGGTAATATACTTGGTTTGCTCTGTTGGCTTTGGTTTTCCTGGGACCCAGCTCTGCTCATTCTTCATCTCTTGTGTAAAGAAAAAAGTGTTGCCTGCCATTCCAGTTCTACAATGATCAAGCTATTAGCCATTGTAGCTGCCCACAGACAGTGTACTCTGAGGAATTCAGGATGAAGAAAGACAGGAAACATTCTGGGCTTTGGATATATTGGCCCTTAGACAGTTAAGATGCATATCTAAGGGAAAGTTTCAAATGACCCCAGATTGTTGCATCTTCCCATACAGAGAAAAGCACTAAAATCGGTGAGATTTCTCTTCTTTGTGATTAGCAGTAATCTTTTGATGCTTGACTACATGTTTTACCAGCAAAAAGTTTATATATATCCTGGCTCCTCCCTTACCTCTTCAGAGCAGTTCCTCAGAGCTATCTGAGAGGTTGTCTTCTGGGCTATAGTCTTCAATAATTTCCCCAAATAAAACTTAACTCAGATTTCACATTGTGCAGTTTTCTTTCAGTCAATAGTTTCGGTGACCACAAAGGGACCCAGAGCAGACTTCACTCCTTTGCCTGAGGATCAGGAGCCTTGGTACCAGCAAGAGCCTCTTGTGCCCATTTGCCTCTTCCATGAGTTTAGACAAATTTGGGTGAGTCTCTCCTGGTTCTCGGATCTCACAATTATTATTATTTTGGTTTAAGGCCCATGTTCATCATGTCCTTTATTATATCATCCATGCATATTAAGACTACAAATGACTTTCAGCTACTTAAACATATAATCATGATATAATGTCCATGGCTTTATAGAGTCCCAGCATAATGTTTCATATATTCTTTTTTTTAACATCTTTATTAGAGTATAATTGCTTTACAGTGGTGTGTTAGTTTCTGCTTTATAACAAAGTGAATCAGTTATACATATCCATATGTCCCCATATCTCTTCCCTCTTGTATCTCCCTCCCACCCTCCTTATCCCACCCCTCTAGGTGGTCACAAAGCACTGAGCTGATCTCCCTGTGCTATGCGGCTGCTTCCCACTAGCTATCTATTTTACGTTTGCTAGTGTATATATGTGCATGCCACTCTCTTACTTTGTCCCAGCTTACCCTTCCCCCTCCCCGTATCCTCAAGTCCATTCTCTAGTAGGTCTGCATCTTTATTCCCATCTTGCCCCTAAGTTCTTCTGACTATTTTTTTTCTTTTTTTTTTAGATTCCATATATATGTGTTAGCATATGGTATTTGTTTTTCTCTTTCTGACTTACTTCACTCTGTATGACAGTCTCTAGGTCCATCCACCTCACTACAAATAACTCAGTTTTGTTCCTTTTTATGGCTGAGTAATATTCCATTGTATATATGTGCCACATCTTCTTTATCCATTCATCTGTTGATGGGCACTTAGGTTGCTTCCATGCCCTGGTTATTGTAAATAGAGCTGCAATGAACATTTTTGGTACATGACTCTTCTTGAATTATGGTTTTCTCAGGGTATATGCCCAGTAGTGGGATTGCTGGGTCATATGGTAGTTCTATTTGTAGTTTTTTAAGGAACCTCCATACTGTTCTCCATAGTGGCTGTATCAATTTACATTCCCACCAACAGTGCAAGAGGTTCCCTCTTCTCCACACCCTCTCCAGCATTTATTGTTTGTAGGATCTCCCAATTATTGGTTGATGATCCTGAGTTAGTTCTATTTTGTGGTGTATAATGGGATTTGTCTCCCCTCCCCCTGAGCCAGGAGATAGATGGGCCCCAGGTTAAACATTTACAACTGGCCTCTTTACATTTCATGAGGGAGGAAAACATGGGCTTCGGGCTGGACACTTATAGCTAGACTCCCGTTTGCATTTCCTGGGACAGGAGATAGATGGCCTCCAGGTTAGACATTGAAAATCAGTCTCCTGTTTGCTCTCCGAAATGGAAGCAATGACAGAGACAGTGTAAATAGCCAGGCTTCATCTCCTGTGGATACCTTCAAAAGCTGAGGGGTGATCTGACAAGCCCAACCACACGCCGCCCGGGCTGGGAGTCTCCACTCTGTGTTCAGTTCTGTTCATGTGTACATGCGTGCAAGTGTGTTTGTGTGTGCACGTGTATGCATGCAGGGTGTGTACAGCTGAATAACAGGAGAGGATCTGCTGGGTTCCAGCATCCTGTGTTCCCCTCCCTGACTGCCCTTGCTCAGGGCCACCTTAAGATAACAGTCATGGCTGGAACAGAGAGGGGCTAAACCTTGTTTGAGTAAAGGGTCAAGAGGTCACATATTTCCCCTTCTTGGGGCAAGGGACACATTGCACATGGGCAGAAAGTCTCCTTGAGGGTCAAAAAGGAGGGCTTACCACCCCATAATATGTGATGCTAAGGCCACCCCATAGGCCTTTGGGCTGAAATCCAACTTGGAAAAATGTTGCACACACATGTTGGGGAGGGTCCTAGGGCAGGTCAGGTGTGGAAAAAGAAGCCAGATAATTGGCCAAAGGTAAACAAAGACCCGGAAGAACTGCCCTATATAAACGACTTAACTGCCTCTTTATCACTCTTCTTCTCCTTAGGGAGGATGCCCACACTCTTTCTCTTGGGGCGTGCATCTCTGCCTTGCTAAACAAACTGTTTCTCTGTGTTGTCTCCCACTTGTGCTATGTCTCTAATAATAAACTTTGTACCTGTTTTTACAGTTTTTACCTCCATGAGAAATGCATTTTTCACTGGGGGCAAGAGCCATGGGGTGTGGTGGCTATGATTCCTGGTTTTCATCCAGGCTACCCGGGTTCAATTCCTGGACAGGGAATTAAGATCTTGCTTCATGCCACCACTCACTTCTGCCTCTCCAAAATCACCTCACCCCAGTTTAAAGATACTGGAGGAGCCTGGTTAAAAGATACAAGGATTTATTCAGTTGAAAGACACTGAGCCTCTGGGCTGGGTAAAATGAAGGGCATCAGAAAGCCAGCCTCCAACTAACACTCCAGCCATGTTTATGTACATATGGAATTTATACTTACAAATATTGAATACTTGTTTAATTGGGAATTAAAGGAAATCTTGCCCTAAAATGGCCAAGATAGAGTTCTTTTGACATTCTAAAAATGATTAGAAGAAAGCCAGCTTGATAAAACATCTTTTCAAAATTTTGACCTTAAAGGAACAAAAGCCCTTCTAGGAGGAACTTGCATTTCGCTCCCTGTGCTTTTGAGATGTAAATGTTATATCTGATCTTCTTAGGCATTTTATTCCGTGTTTCGAGAGCTTGGTCTTTGCCATCCAGAAGGTACACATATGGTGTACATTTGGCAGCCAGCTGAATAGATTGGGATTCCAAGCAGTCATCTTGTCTGGCTATGCCAGCTCTCAGGAAAATTTATTATAAGGAGTCCCAGCCCATAAGGGGCCTTGTCATCTCAACCTTTGTTGTGTCTACCTGCACAAAAAAGACCTTTAGTTTCTTAGACTATTATGGGGAGTAAACTTTCTGTATTTTAAGAAGGCTGCATTCTTTGCGCTCTCTTGTGGGGTTGCCTCTTGCGTCTTATTGGTTTGAGTTGCTATTAAGATACTATTCATCAATGGCCAGACATTGGATTCTTTAAATTGGAGAAACTTCTAAATTGCTAAATTTTTAGAGAGCTCTCATTTTAAACAGCTGTTTTATTGGTGCCTATGAAAATACCAAATTAAAAGGTAGATGCAAAATATATATATACATACATAAGTAAAACAGGTAACCTTAAAAACTCCCTTAGTTTAAGGGCTTCCCTGGTGGCGCGGTGGTTGAGAGTCCACCTGCCGATGCAGGGGACAGGGGTTCGTGCCCCGGTCCGGGAAGATCCCACATGCCGCGGAGCGGCTGGGCCCGTGAGCCATGGCCGCTGAGCCTGCGTGCCCAGAGCCTGTGCTCCGCAACGGGAGAGGCCACAACAGTGAGAGGCCCGCGTACTGCAAAAAAAAAAAAACAAAAACAAAAATACAAAACAAAAAAAAACCTCCCTTAGTTTAAAACTAACAAATAAAAACTGTTTTAGGAAGCCTTATTTGTGGTCTCAGCTTCCCTTCAATGGTTCTTGCAGATGCTAATAAAAACATTAGCTTAATTAATGTTAATTAGGTTGATTAACAGGAGAATAAGAAGAAACTGAGGGGAAAGTCAAGAGACTTCTTCCCAACGAAGTGAAAAATTTAAAGGGACTTATCCCAACAGAATGGAAATCTTTAGATGATTATTAGGAAATGGGATAAATAAAATGGATTTTGATAGGATTAAAACAAAAGTTTTGACTACCTGGGGTTGGATAGACCAAAGGGACCCCCCAATTAGTCCCCCCAACATTAAAGTGCACTCTATTAACCCCTATTTTGAAACAAAATTTAAAGGCTGGAAGAAAATTACACTGAGATACCTGACTAGCATTTGCTTGGGACAACAGTGAGATCAATTAAT